TCAATGTCATCTTCAGCTACTCAATGAGTTCCAGGCCAGCCTGGCATACACTTGAAATCAAAAACAAAATAAGGGGCTGGAGAGATGGCTCAATGGTTAAAAGCACTGGCTGTTCTTATAGAGGTCCGGGATTCAGTTCCCAACACCTACATGGCAGCTTACAACTGCCTGTAACTCCACCTCCAAGGAATCCAACACCCTCACACAGACATGCATGCAGGCAAAATACAAATGCACATAAAATATAAACAAAATAAAACAAATGAAAATCCCATCATCTTTTAAGTAAATTCACCATTTGTGTGTTGAGCCAGATTCACAGGCATCCTCAGCTGTATACAGGACAAACAAGCTCATTTCCTGCACAATACTCTGACCTGAGGTTTTACTTTATCAGCTGGAACCCTATCCAATGCACCCCAGGAACCAACCTACTGACTCATCTAGGTTCTTCAGCAACACTTCCAAACTTTAGACGCCACCAAAACGGTATATATAGCTACTGTGAAGACATTTAGAGAAAATTCTCCCTTGAGAAGCCCACACCCACAACTGCATGTGTTTTTTTTTTCCCCTTGGAGACAGGGTTTTCTCTGTAGTTTTGGTGTCTGTCGTGGATCTCGATCTGTAGACCAGGCTGGCCTTGAACTCACAGAGATCCGCCTGCCTCTGCTGTGTGCTGAGATTAAAAGCGTGCACCACCACCGCCCCATCCATGCTTATTTCTTAATGAACTCATGACAAAAACTTTTGTTTTAAATAATGTGTGTGTGTGTGTATACACGTACGTGTGTGTGTGTGTGTGTGTGTGTGTGTGTGTGTGTGTGTGTGTTACATGTGTGCCATGGCATGTATTTGGAGATCCAGAGGACAAACTTCAGAACTCAATTCTCTCCTTTTACTATGGATTTCAGGGACTAAACTCTGTAATCAGGTCCCTGCAGTAAGTGAATTTACTCACTGAGACATCTCACAGGCCTCTAAAAGATGAACCTTTGAAGAACAAGCAAAATCCATTTGTTGTACCACTACAGCAAAAAGCTTCTGGAGATTTTATTATGTAGGTCTTTGCTATAGTTTAGATATGACTGTGTTCCCAAAACACTCAGGTGCTGGAAGATGGTTCCTAGTATAGCATTGTGAAGAAGTAGCATAATATGTAAGGGATAGAAACTTTGAGATGATTTACAGGCTCCAATCTCATGGATACATCAATGCTAGTCTCAAAGAATAGTTAGGTCCTAATTTCTGTGTGCGTGAACTGTTATAAAAAGATGACCCTTGACCCTCCCCAACTCCCTTTCTTCCTATCTTGCTGTGTTCATATTTTCACTCTCTCCCTCTTTCTTCTTCCAGGTCATGATGTTACCATTCTATTATACAATGATTACAGATGGAAGGCCCTCACCAAAAGATCAGCTTGATTTTGTACAAAACTGTGACCTAAATACATCTCTCAAACTTTTGTTTTGTTTTTCTGAGACAAGTTTTCTCTGTGTAGCCCTGGCTGTCCTGGAACTTGCTCTGTAGACCAGACTGGCCTCAAACTCATAGATCTGCCTGCCTCCCAAGTGCTGGGATTAAAGGTGTGTGCCACCACTGCCTAGCATATATCTCTTAATGTTATTAAGTATTTAGGTATCTTGTTATAGCAACATGAAATGAACTAAGACAGACCTGAAAAAAATGCATACTATTCCAACTGATTTTTCTTTTTTCTTGCTTCTTTCTTTCTTCCTTCTTTTCTTTCTTTCTTCCTCTCTTTCTTTTTTCTTTTGGCTTTTCAAGTCCCTTTATTGGACCTCTCCCAGTCTCCCATTCGCCAGGCATCATTAATTCAGGCTCCCGAGAGGCAAGGAGCTCAAAGCCTGCCATGGTAGGAACCTGGTTCCCCCCTTCCTCCGGAACTCCCATGAACACACTCACCCAGACCACAAGATTATAAGGGAATCCCACACAGTCTTCCCCCTCGGGTCCTATACCAGAGACAAAAGCAGAGGCCCTACTGATTTTTCTTTCCTGCTCCTTCCTACTAGTAGTCTTTTTACTAAGGAAATACACTATAGCCTACAGAGAACTGTGTCACCAAAGAGGAAGTACAGGTGATTAAAGAGAGAGAGAAGAAAAGGAGTTCTGGATGCCACAGAGAAGACTTTGCAAGCTCTAGAATTTCAGACAAGAGTCACTATACTGTGTTGGCTTGTTCTTTCTTCCTTTTTCCTCTCCACCCTTCCCTGACCTCCGCCAGTGTCACACATAGTGCAGGGTAGCCATACACTCACATAGCCAAGGATGACCTCAAAGCCCAGATCTTCCTGATCCACTACTCAAGTACCAGGATTATAGGTATGCCACATCACGCCTGCTTCTAAAGGATGCTTCAAAAGTCTTTCTAAAATCCCCAGGACAGGCTGGGGATGTGGCTCACTTGATAAAGTACTTGTCTACTACATGGAGCTGTGGGTTCAATTCCCAACACCACATAGATCAGGTGTGATGGAGTACAGTCCAACACTCCAATTGGGAAGAGGAGGCAGGAGGAAGAGGAGTCAAGGCCATTCTCTGCTACACGGTGAATTGAAGACAAGCCTTGGCTATATAAGACCCTGTTAGCATTAAGGCCCGCCCCTTGGGGACCTGGCAAATACACAGGCAATACCTTGGTATATCCAGGGTCTTGACAACAAATATCATGTGCTCATTGCTCCATAGTCCCCTTATAAAGGACAGGGCCCTTCCTTCTCTCTATTCCCACAAGGTCGCGTCTGCACCTCCTGTCTTCTCCCTTTCCAGTCTCCTCCTCCTCTTCTCTCCTCAGCTCTCTTCTCTCCCTTCCCCCCAATAAAACTCTAGGCAAGTGCTGTATGTATGCTGTGTCTCTCTCATCCGCCATGGGGCCCCTCCAACCCACCAAAGTCTCTGGCCCGACGTTTTAAAAATACAGCAGACCCTATCTCAAAAACTAAAATAAAATTTAAAACTCAAAAGAGCAGCTCTTGGAAGGCAGAGGCAGGAGGATCTCTGTGGGCTCGAGACCAGCCTAATTTACAGAGAGAGTTCCAGGACAGCCAAGGCTAAACAAAAAAAAAAAAAAAAAACCTGTCTCAGGGAAACACACAAACTCAAAAGAGCTAGAATAACTAATACAATTTTGAAAAGGACTAAAATTGAAGGACTTACAACTTCTTGAATTTAAGGCTTAATGAAAAGCATAGCAGTTTTTCAAGCTTGGCACTATTAACATTTTAGACTGTTAATTCTTTGAGGGGACTCTGTTGTGCATTAGAGATGTTTAGTAGCATCCCTAATATCTCTCTCCAACTACCAGGCAACTTTTCTACCTCCAGAGTGAAAATAAAAATGTCTCTAGACATTGCCAAGTGTCCGCAAGGGATGAAGTTGCTCTTAACTGAGAACCACTGAGCTCCACTGGGGGGAGGCAGACAGATCACTAGAGCAGAGTCTGAATTCAATCCTCAATTATAACCACCTGACAGGACAAAAGTACAAAATAATTCTATGAGAAACTGGAGTATTCTCAATAAATGATGCTGAAATCATTAGATATTCACATGCAAAGTAGCAATTTTATCCCTCATCTCATTCCATATAAAACTAGGTAAAAATTTACCAGACTTAAATTTAAGAGCTATAATTATGCACTCAGAAGGCAGAGGAAGGCAGATCTCTGAGTTCGAGGCCAGCCTTTCTACAGAGCCAGTTCCAGGACAGCCAGGCCTGTTGTTACACAGAGAAACCCTGTTTTGAAAACAAAAAGATGAACACACAAAAAAAGCTATAATTATAAAACTTCTAAATAAATAATAGGGAAATTTCTTAGTAAGATAAACACATATTTTTTTTATGTTTCGAAACTATGTATCCCAGACTGGCCCAGAATTCACTATGGAGCACAGATTGGTCTTAAACTCTAGGTCTTCCTGCTTCTGCCTTAATTACAGGCATGTGATACATGCCTAACTCCAAACTGTATTTTTAGTCAGGAAATTTCACATTAAGATATAAAAATAACTGCTCTTCAAAACTTCTGTTAAAAATAACACTTATAAGGTAGGAGAAAATGTTTGCTATACACATATGATAAAGAAGTCGTCTAGGATTAAACAATAAGGTGAAGAATCCAACAAAAAACTAACAAAAGAGGGTTGAGGATATAGCTCAGTCAGTGCTTTCCTAGCATGCACAAAGCTCTGCTTTTGATCCCTATAAACTGTTCAGAGTTACCCATCTGAAACCGCATCATTCTAAAAGTGGAAGCCAAAGAATTCAAAATTTAATGGGATAGGGAGAGACTTAAAAATGATTTCAATAACTATCTTATGAAAAAAGATACACTGATGGCAAAAAGAAAAAAAGCACACAAAAACCTTCAGTAACATCATTAGTCACTGAAATCCTGACACAGGGCCAGCGAGATGGCTTAGCAAGTCAAGACACTTGTTGCCAAGCCTGAGGACCTGAGTTCAAATTCCTGGAACCCACATGGTATGGTAGTAGGGGAAAACTCACTCCTGAAAGCTGTCCTGTTTCCTACACACCTGTGGTGTATACACGCTGTATGCAGACCTTCCTAAATAGTGTGGAAATGTGTTTCTGTGTAGTATTTTACCTGCATGTGTGTTTGAGCAGCATGTGTGTGCCTAGTGCCTGCAGAGAAGAAGGTATCAGATTCCCTGGAACTCGGTACAGAAGGCTGTGAGCTCCATGTGGGTGCTGGAATTCGACCATGTCTTCTGCAAGAGGAGCCTGCGCTCTGAACTGCTAATCCATCGCTCTAGCACTGCTCCCAAAACAAAAACAAGAGTGAAGAGCTAAATAATCCTGAAGCAGCACACAAACTCACTTTAACAGAATGAAGAAAGCAAACAAAATCAAGCCCTGACCATTCAAAGTACTGGAAAGGAACTAAAAAGCATTGCTAGTAGGGATACCAACTTATGCGATACTTTGGGAAACGTGTTTTTAAAACACATACTTACCATATGACCGAGCAATTCCACTTCTAGGTATTTACCTTAGGAAAATGAAAATGTGTGTCAACACATAAACTTTTATTTGAATGCTCACAGCAGTTTTACTCATAATAACCTACAACTGTTGGAAACAAGACCAGTGTTCCACAACTCCTGAGGAGATAAACCAATTGGGTACACAGTCAAATTGCTACTAGCACAGAAAATTCTGGAGCCCAGCATGGTAGCACCTGTCTGTAATCCCAGCACTGGAAAATTTCTTTTATAACTGATTGGGTATTCAAGGCCATCTTTATCTACAAAGTGAGTTTGAGTCCAGACTAGGCGATAGGAAGCCCTGTCTTAAAATTAAAGAAAAAGGTAAAGTCAATAGACAGGGAGAAGCTTTTAATTCCAGTACTCAGGAGGCAGAGGCAGGCTTATCTCGGTAAATTCAAGGGGAGTGGTTAGCAAAACTACTTAAAGGGCTGTAGAAAAGGCTCTGCAGTTAAGAGCACTTATTGCTCTTGCAGAGAAGCAGGTTCAATTCCCACGCCCACAGAGTGGCTCATAGCCATCTGTAATTCCAGTTTCAGGAGATCAGATACTTTCAGATCTCTGTAGGCACCAGGCAAACACATGGTGCACATATGTACATGCAGGCAAAATGCCCACACATAGAGTAAATAAATCTAAAAACAAACAATCAAACAAAAAGACTCCACTATGTATGTCTCTAGAATACGCAGCTGAAAACTAGAACAATGTTATATAATTCTACCCGCCCACAACATAAGCTATGAAGAGAGTTAACACTGAAGAGGAAAATGTGCTGACCAGTCTCTTTTCACTCTGGTCTTTTTCTTTATCTTTTGTTTCCAACTGGAAACTGCTCGGGTCTTCTCTCCTCCGTTTGAGACGGAGGTCTGACTCTGCAGCCCGGGTTGCCCTTGGACCCCGACCCATCGGCCTCAGACTCTCGAGTGCAGAGATCACCAGCCCTGCTACCATATCTGGCTTGGATTTTCATTCTTAAAAGTTAATTCTCATTTATTCTATTATCTAGCTGTTTAACACGACAAACCTATCACTGTTATTTCAATATACTTTATATTGAAGATAAACAGAAAACACAAACAAGAGGAAATTATTTGGAATTGTACATCCTTCAGGGAAGACTAGAGTGAATAGGCTACTAAAGAAAACTACTTGCAGAATAGTTTGCAAGCGTCTATGTTCAGATCATTAAGATATTTTAAAATATCCTGAAACCGAATATAGACTCAAGGATGAAGCCAGACCCACTGACTACGTTCACTAAAATACAACATCCATCAAGCCTGGCCCAGTAAGAAAGGCCAAACGCACCCTAACATGACCTTACCTTCAGAAGTCAGCCAAGGAACTTTTATAGAAACAGTAACCATATGCCATTTTCCTATTCCTCAAAGCAGTTAAAAAAAAAATAGAACCTTTAGTACGAATATTGCAGGACTCGGGCTGTCAAGAAATGGAAGAAAAGATGGTGCTGGGTATAGTACTACTTGTAATCTCAGAATCTGGGCAGTGGATGCAGGAGGATCAGGAGCTCAAGGACAGTGTTGGCTATACAGAAAATTCAAGTTCAGTCTAGGCTACAGGAGACCTTTCTCAGAAACAAACAAAGGAAACATGGGGCATAAATCAGCAATCTGTTGAACTGGAACTCTGTATTTGTCAAGACTCTGAACTCTGCTGGGCATAGGAGTGCAAACCTTTGATACCAGAGTCCTTGGGAGGCTGAGGAAGTACAAATTCTGAGAGTCTGAGGACAGCCTGGTCTACAAAGTAAGTCTCAGGATAACCAGGGCTATGTAAAGAGACCATGTCTCACAAAAGCAAACACAGAAGATTTTGAACAATGAAAAAATCTTTGTTTTATGATGACTTCCTGCTTAAACTTTTCAAATTCCTCTAACCTTTATCCCATTCTCAACAAGTAGTCACATTTTTACCTGGAGAGAAATTCATTATTATGGTCCCTCTAGAGAACTACCAAGCAACATTTTATTTTTTTGTTTTGTTTTGTTTTTTGTCTTTGTTTTGCTTTGTTTTTCGAGACAGGGTTTCTCTGTGTAGTTTTCATGCCTGTCCTAGATCTCGCTCTGTAGACCAGGCTGGCCTTGAACTCACAGAGATCCGCCTGCCTCTGCCTCCTGAGTGCTGGGATTAAAGGTGTGCGCCACCACCGCCCAGGCCAAGCAACATTTTAAATAGCATTTAGTGGTTCCCTACAGTCATCTTTTGAGATTATAAAAGTTTAAAAAACGGCAGTAATAAAGTTGGGACAATATCCCAAATGCTGAGTTACACATTTCTTTGATAACCGACTGAGTATTGTTTGGTTGTGTTGAGATAATATCAGTGTGCACCCCAGACTGACTGAATTTATGGCAGTATCTTGCCTCAGCTTCCCAAGCCCTAGGATCACAGGCCTGAGCTACCGCCCAGATAAAGTGTTCTCTCTCTCTCTCTCTCTCTCTCTCACACACACACACACACACACACACACACACACACACACACACACACACAAACGAAAGTTCCTTGATTATGGGGCAACTGTGAAAAAAAAATCTAAGACTAACATCCTATTTAAATAACAAAGCAGAATGTTTCCTCCTGATACAGGGAAGGGAAGGATTTCTCGTTATTCAACCTTTTCTCACATACCTAATTAGTGAAATAAGAAAAGAAATGGAAACGAAGAAGTAAAACTGTCTTTACTTACAAAAAGCATTGCAATATAGGTTTAAAAACATGCTAAAGAATCAACAAAAGAGCTTCTAAAATAAATGGTGGCTTCACAAGGTGGCAGGCTATAAGATCACTTTCCATGCTTTGCATTATCTGCAATCAAGAAGTCAACTGCGGTGTAAAAGTATTCCAGAAGTTGGTAGTCTGTCAAGATTTAAACAGTTACACTGAGACATGTGAGAAAATCTCATACTATCTTGTTCCATCTCACCAAAGGAGGTGAGTTCTCCCCAGGGTATCTATGCTGTACGTGACGTCCACTCACCAGGGGTAGCATACAATTAGCTTCAGGCTTGCCTTTGTTTTAGCTAACTATACAACTCTTAAGCTTCCAACTCTTAAAATGCTTGTCTTAAAACAAAGAGCTTAGGACGCCGGGCGGTGGTGGCGCACGCCTTTAATCCCAGCACTCGGGAGGCAGAGGCAAGCGGATCTCTGTGAGTTCGAGGCCAGCCTGGTCTACAGAGCGAGATCCAGGACAGGCTCCAAAGCTACACGCTACACAGAGAAACCCTGTCTCAAAAAAAAAAAAAAAAAAAGAAAAAAAAAAAAAAGAAAACAAAGAGCTTAAAGCTGGGCGGTGGTGGCGCATGTCTTTAATTCCAGCACTCCAGAGGCTGAGCCAGGCGGCTCTCTGAGTTCGAGGCCAGCCTGGTCTACAGAGCGAGATCCAGGACGGCACCAAAAAACTACACAGAGAAACCCTGTCTGGAAAAACAAAAACAAAACAAAGAACTACGTTCCTCACTAAGCACAGTAACGTTCTGTTTCCAAAGAAAGACACTCACTTCTCAAAAGTTAAACAATCTGATAAAAACTCTGTTATAGCAAATAAGCTTTTACAGCTCAGTATTTATTTACTAACTGTCGACAATGAGACTCTGAAAGTAAAACTATGAGAAGGACCTTGCCCTCGAAGAGCTCTCAGCCTAGTGAAAGAGAATCATATTGAGAATGTCATGTGACAAGGCAGGAACAAAGTGTGCACAGGGTTCAAAGGTAGCACATGCACTGAAACAAGGAGGGACTGAGAAATTCCTGTCAGCTAGATGTTCAAAGCAAACAGGAATTTGATCAGTAGTCAAAGCATCTACAGGTAGATGACATAAACTCTTTCAATGTTCCTACTTTGACAAAGACTTTGTAAGACAGACTAATGAAATACTTGTCCTCTAAGTATTTAGAGACACACGCCCAGCACTTAGGAGGCAGAGCCAGGTGGATCTCTGTGAGTTCGAGGCCAGCCTGGTCTACAGAACAAGTTCCAGGACAGGCACCAAAACTACACAGAGAAACCCTGTCTCGAGATTAAAAAAAAAAGTCAGCTTGAGATACGTAGCAAGACCTAACATCAAAATATGTATGAAGGCAGGGGTGCACACATGTGTGCTCACACTTACACACCCTTACCATACACACACACACACACACACACACAGAGGCATGCATGCACACACACACACAGACTTGCACAGACATGCATATGCATTAAGATAGGGAGAAGTGTGTAGTATTAGATGCGGTGATATAGTGTGTACCCTAATAAACTTGCCTGAGTATTAGAGGATAGAGCCAGCCACTAGATTAGACATAGAGGCCAAACAGTGGTGGCACACATCCTTAATCCCAGTACTCGGAAGCACACACATCTTTAATCCCACAAGTGATGTCTAGGCATAGAAAAGTATATAAGGTGTGAGAAAACAGGAACTCACTCTCTTTAGGCTGAGGATTTCCTGGAGGTAAGAACTAGTGGCTGGCTGTTCTGTTTCTCTGATATTTCAGCTTTCACCCTTATATCTGGCTCTGGATTTTTTATTAAAAGACTAAGATTCAAACAACAATTAGAAGCAGTCTTAGGGTTTCTATTGCAGTGATAAAACACCATAACCAAAAGCAACTCAGGAGAAAAGGGTTATTTTAGTTCACAGTTCCACATAACAATACATCATCAAAGGAGGTCAGGGCAGGAACTGATACAGAGACCATGGAGAAGTGCTGCTTACTGGCTTGCTCAGGCTGCTTTCTTACATACTCCAGGACCACCTGCCCAGGGGTGGGCAGCATCCACTATCGGCTGGGCTCTTCCATATCAATCACCAATTAAAAAAATAACCCTACAGGTCAATCTTATGGAGGTGCTTCTTTCAACTAAGGTTATCTCTTCTCAGGTATGTCTCTAACCTGAGTCAAGACACAAAACTAGCCAGCACAGTTCTAACAAGACCAAAGTTTAGATGTAAAAGATAACAGGAACTAAACAGGTGAAGGGGGGGGGAGAGGAGAGCACAGCACAAAAATGGTGTCAAAAGGCTGGGGAGACGGATGAGCTGGTAAAGTGCTTGCCTCACAAGCATAAGAACCTGAGTTCAATCTTTGGAACCAAAGCTAAAAAACAAAAACAAAGGATGGTGGCATGTGTTTATAATCCCTGAGGTTTATTGGCCTACCATCCTAGCCTAGACCAGTAAGTATGAGAGTCTCTTGCTTTCTTCTTTGGTTTTTGTTTTGAGACAGGGTTTCTCTGTGCAGCCCTGGCTGTCCTGGAACTCACTCTATAGACTAAGTCGGCCTTGAACTCAGAGATCTGCCTGCCTCTGCCTCCTGAGTGCTGGGCCATATGCCTGTGCCATAACCACCAGAGAGACTCTATCTTAAAAATAAACAAAATTAAAAAGCCATGTATAGTGCCTCAGACCCATAATGCCAGCAAAGAGTAGGCAAAGGCAGGAGAATCACTGCAAACCTAGGCCACTCTGGTCTACATGGCAAGAGCCAGGACAGTCAGGATTTCAAAGCAAGATCACTTCAAAAACTGAAACAGAAAAAGGAAAGAAAAGGAACAAGGGATGGGCTCCTAGAGGAAAGTAGAAAGTGTGGAGTCCATGAGGAGATGCACCACACTACTAAAAAGCTTACTGAGTTTGCTAAGCCATTCAAGCAGGAGTCTGGAGAATGTATGGGAATGGGATTTAAGGCTGTGGGATAATGGTAGAAGGAACCTAAGGCTGGATCAGGCTGAGTTTATTGACACTGGCCTGAGTGGAGAGTCTAGGTTTAATCTGGAAGCTTGCAGTTAAAATGGGTGTCAAAAGTCTGTGTAAGGAGAAATTACAAAGCTAGAGTGGGTATGCTGTTCAAAGCCAATCCTCTACAATGGGGAGGCCCAGAAGACATGCCTTTCACCGATCCTGGCAGATGCAAAATGGTCTGGGGGTACCAGCACACTGCAGAGCCCCACTGTCACTCACCCTTTCTCCTGTGCCGTACCTTAGGGGTGGAGACTCTTCTGCTAGGTTGGATGAATTAAATGCAATGTGTTTAACTGAGCCTGGGAGAGCAGGGGCCGGGTGGTAGCACTGAATCACCAAAGACAAGGTGATCTTAGTAATCCTAAGGGCAGAACAGAAAAAGCAATGAACAGAACAGCCTAACCTATAATGGTCAGCCCAGGTAAAGTGAATTTTATGGTAACATGACTCATATGGACCTTCGGTATTGGCTAATCAATCAGTCATGGTGTTTCCAGGCATGAAAGAGGTAAGAAGCCTACTGAATTTTTGTTTGATCTGTATAAGCAGAAACATTTTCAAACAAATGAAAGAAAGGCTACAATGGATCATGACAAAAGGGACTCTCAGCCTGTGAACCAATTTCCAGACTTGAGCCAGCTTGCAGACCCAGAACCCCTTGAATGAAGGGATAGCTAGGTTCCCCTGAGGAAGGACTTGATAAAATACCTAAAAGTCCTACTGTCAGCCTTTCTCTGGTCCTTCTCCAGAGGGACCTATGGTCCTTTCAAAAGTACTGTACCACTGGGTGAAAAGAAACAACAATACTTTCAGGGGTCTATTAGATCCTAGGTCTGAACTGATGCTGATTCCGGGAGGTCCCAAGAAACTTGTGGCCCTCCAGTTACAGTAGAGGATTATTAAGGTCAGGTGAATAATGGAATTTTGGCTGAAGTCCAACTCACAGCAAGTCCAGGGGGTCTCCCAACTCATCCTGGTTATTTCCCCAGACCCAGAATATGTAATTGGGATAGATACACTTAGAAGTTAAGAGAATCCTAACTAATACAGTGATGTAGCAAATCTCAGGCTAGATTGGACTATCTAACAAGATCCTACCTCAAAAAAAAAACAAAACAACAAATCAAAACAACAACAAAACAAAAACAACAAAGAGCCCCAAAATAACCACCAAAAAAAAAAAAAAAAAAAAAAAGGAATGAAGACTTGAGTTGCTGGTGGCTGGCCAAACGGCTATGCAGCTAAAGTGCTTGTCTTCAAGCCTGACCACTACCCAGGGCTGATGAGATCATGGAACTACAACCACCACGTTTCTAAGCCAGCACAGTTCCTAACTGCATTCTACTTATTCTTATACCCACAAGTAAGAGCAGCTCTCACCACTCATCAAAGAAACTTCCCTCTGCAATCCAATCTGGGCGGCAGTGGCACATGCCTGTAATCCCAGCACTTGGGAGGCAGAGCCAGGTGGATCTCTGTGAGTTCAAGGCCAGCCTGCTCTACAGAGTGAGCTCCAGGACAGACACCAAAACTACACAGAGAAACCCTGTCTCAAAAAACTGAAAAACAAACAAAAAAACTTCCTTTTGCAGTAGAGACCATTAAGAAAAACTGCACCTGGTCAAAGTGCAGAAAACAACTAATTGTGGGGTGTCCAACAACAGTGGATACATATTCAACACAACAGCACTCAAGGCTCAGGACACCACAGAAGAGGAAACAGGAATGTAAGAGGTAAAGGACAGGAAGTCTGCTCTAAGAGTGTGTCTCCTAGAAATGACAGGGAAGCTACACCCATGATACCTCAACAACATGGCTGCCTAAACCACACACACACACATATCCTGCACTACGGTGCACGCCTTTAATCTCAGCACTCAGGAGGCAGAGGCAAGCAGATCTCTGTGAGTTTGAAGCCAGCCTGGTCTACATAGAGAGTTCTAGGACAGCCAGGGCTGTTTCACAGAAAAACCCTGTTTATAATAATAATAATAATAATAATCACCATCATCATCATCATCATCATCATCCTTTTTTTAAACCTGACCCCTCTATCTCTAACTTTCCCAGTTGTTCTATACAGTTAAGCAAGCTCAGAAGGCTTTGCTCTGTAGTTAAACTGCACCAGGATTTCCATACATCCAGGGTAAACCCTTTTACCCAGTGTTCTTACCCTTCACATGCCCATTTCAACAGCCTCACTTAAACCCTCCTCTTCTCCTTACCTTGGGACTTTTGAAGGCATGTTTTCAGTCACCATTGCCTTTCATGATTTGCTATGTTTTCCCTTATTTTCCAAATGTCTACATCACTCATCATCCCCACCCCACTACTCTCATTTTCCCTTTCATCCAGGCTGTGGCTCCTGGGTTTTCCTGACCTGCACATTGTATGTTACAAAAGGAGAGAATCCCAATCACATATTGAAAGTTTTAAGTGTACTAAGATACTGATTTCTTTCTGCCCCATGGCTTGGAGTGGCTACAGCTCTTAGGTATCACACCTATGACCTTTAACAATCCTTTTTTTAGGCCTAGTGCATTTAATAAATGTTACATTACCATTTTCTATGTATGACATCATGTGGGGGGGGGAGTAAAAAACACCAAGACAAAATATTTCTCAAATACTTTCATAACACTCTCAGAGTAATTCCTATAGACTATTAATATTATTCATTAAGCTAGATATTTTTATACCAAGTACAGACTTCCGTAGTCTCCATGGCACATCTCATACAGTAGACGAAATCTTTTAAGGAAACTGGTGTTTTCTCAAAACTGTAATACAATGGCAACTATGTTGTTCCTACCCTGTACAGTGGAAAATGTCAAGTATTTACAAAGCAGGGAAAAAAATGATACCCCACATAGCCATCACTCAGCTTAAATACTCAATCACCTTATAAAGAATACTGCTTTATCTGTAATGCCCACATAGTCTACCCTCCTCACATTAGATTACTCTGAATCCAGCTGCAGACATCCTATCATTTCATCTATAACTATTTCATGTAGGCCTACATGCTAAAAGACAGCATAGATGTATATAAAGATGTTACCAGTTTCCATGGAAGTCCTTATGCTGGTGAATCAGATTTCTGATATTAAGTATGCCCCAGTAAGTCATGGATTAGAGAAATTTATCTATTAGAAAACACATATTTATTACATTTTTCTCTACTGCATTTTCTTACAAGTTAAAACAACTTGAAAGCCGAAAATTGGGGAACAGTTTTTAATTTTTAAATGTTTTATTAGCATATATTAATTATACATAACAGATTTGATTGTGACAGTTTGTACATATACACAATATGTCCCAATTACACCTGTCTTCTGTGACCCTCACCTGTCTCCCTCCTACCTCCGTTAATCCTCTTCCCTTCCCAACTAGCCCTCTTCGTACTTCCATGGTTTTGTTTTATTCTGTTTTGGGTTTTGGGTGATCCAATAGTTTCCATTAGGGGTGTTTCAGGAGCATGGGCACCTTACCAGTGGCTACATCACTGAAGAAGAAGGCTTTCCTTCCTCTATCAGCCAGTGACTACATAGAATGAAAGAGAGGAGTCCCTTGAGCCCCTCACTCCCACCCTGCTTCGTTTTGTTTTGGAGACAAAGACTCACGCTACAGTCCAGTAGAGCCTGGAACTGAATAGAAAGCTCACACTGGTCTCAAACTCATAGCAATCCTCCTGGCTCAGCCCCCAAAACATCAGAACTACAGTATATGCTACCATACACAGAAAAAATAGATTTAACAGTGTCAATTGGAGAAAGATCACTGGTTAAGGAGCTTTGAGACCTCTAAAGAGAGAAAAATTGTACAAAGACCTTCCACTTCCTAGAGACAATTGACATTCATATGACTCATTTGGTATGTGATGACACCCTAACACTATGCAACTATTGTACACAAAGGAATTCTTATAATTGCATATTTTATAGGAGAACTGCAACAAAATTAAAGCCAGAAATTTTTTATCCAATAATCCTTACCTTTTGTTGGACTGAAATTCTGATCTATAAAGCCCCTCAGTTCTGCACTTGTGGATGTCAAACCAACCTAGATTAAAAAAAATTAATACTCGGATCTGAAGTATTATAGCATTATTTAATAGACTTTTTTATCTTCCACCAGAGGTCTGTATCAAGTATTATATATAGTCTTATGAAATAAATCAATTATATCATCCATAGGAATATATTACTAAAAAGAAAATGTTACCATAATGCTTGAAATGGGAAAAACTAAGAATTTTAGATTAAAAATTAATGGAATGTTACTTATGAGTTAAACCAAAATCCACAAATTTTCTGAATATTTTGAAGGCAAGTAATATGGCAGCTGCCAACAGATAAATCACAATTCCATCCTGAGGGCTGGAGGCTTGGCTCAGCAGCAGAACACTTGCCTAGCATGTATAAAGCCCTGGTTTGAACTCTAGCACTATAAAAACAAGAGTAATTATATCCTCATTGCTGCCCTTAATTTCTAATGTTCTTAATCACTTCTACAATGTTTTAAAGAGCTACCCCAGAAATACCATGACTAACTCAAGTCCATTCATGTATCTGGGTCCACACCGGCTCATAAAGCCCACTGTTATGTGCCCTGGTGAAGCCATTCAAATTACAAATTTGCAAATGAGAATGTGCTGCCTGCCAGTACTTACCAGTTCTGGTTGTTGTAAATCCCCAAGGAGATAAGTAATGCAAAGGATGCAGCACACTACATGGCACACACTCTTCAATCTATGTCAACATTCATGATTAGTTAGTACTGTGTATCAGCAGCTCTCTGTGGCAATGGCCTTCGGAGGGTTTGTTTCACTTAATGTAATATCTACAGGGCTATTTGGTAGCACAGATGAAGGCAGTACCATAAGAAATAGTCTTTCTCTGTTGCAGATACAAAGCCTCATATATCCCAGGCTGGTCTCAAACTGTACAGCTGAGGATTAATCTTCTGATCCTCCGATCTCTATCTCAAGAGTGCTGCAATTACAGGAATGCATGACCACACCTGATTTTCATAAAAATTCTAAAAATCTGTTTCAGAGCCTAGTGGAATCTCGACTTTGAAAATCTGACACAGGGGCCATCAAGACAGCTCAGTACATAAAGTGCTTGCTGAATAAGCCTGAATATCTGAGTTCAAACTCCAACTCACATAAAGATAAAGGGGAGAATCAATCCCACAAAGCTGTCCTCAAGAGCACAGTGGCATCAGGTAGCTCCCCCCATCCCCCCTACCCCTGCATCATAGATATACACACATAATAAGATTTTTATTTAAGATTAAAAGAAACTTAGCTCAATCTCTAAATTCAAGGCCAGCCTGCTCTACAGAGTGAGTTCCAGGACAGTCAAGGCTACATAAAGAAACCCTGTCTCAAGGAAGAAGACAAACAGCTTAGCTCAAAGCAAGTTATAGTAAGTGGATTATTACTATATATTATACTTTTATACATTATCGAGTTGTAATCTTGTGACATTACAAACTTGCAATATTCTGCACACTTTGAACATTACAAATTTGTAGTCTGATACCTCAAACCCTCTTTTCAAATATATCTTTAAAACAGTTTTATTGGACTAGAACTAATTATAATGGCTTCAAATTATTGATCCTTATCTCGATGTTTTGAGACATGTCTAAATTATTAAATGATCGCTACAATCAAGCTAATTACAAATCCTTACTTTTATGGTATGTTGTATGCGTGCCTGAGTATGTATACTGAATAGATTTAATTTAATATTGATCTGTGCTGGTATATATAGCTCAGCAAGCTTTGCCTTGCATGCCCAAGTCTCTGGGTTCAATTTGCAGTACTGCCCCTACCTCCCAATAAAACTATCCTCATAACAAATTACAAGCATATAACACGATACTTCAATGAGCATCACCATGCTGCAAATCAGTTCCTCAGTAACTTAAAAGAATTTTAAAGAACATGAGGTGCTGAACTTTGTGTACTTGACTTTAAATTTTTTTTTTTTTATAATTTTATGTGTATAGGTGGTTTGTCTGCATGCACATCTATGCACCCTGTGTGCCTGGTACCCACAAAGGCCAGAAGAGGGCATCAGATACTTTGGAACTATTGTTACAAACAGTTGTACGCTGCCACATGGGTGCTAGAAATCAAACCCAAGACTTCTAGAAGAGCAGCCAGTTCTTTTAACTGCTAAGCCATCTTTCCAGTCCAACACTGGACTTTTTTTTTTAGTTATTTAATACGTAACATTATATCCTCCATAAGCACTCACTTGATCCCTATCAATTTAATAGTTTAAGAGCTAATGATTTCATTATTCAGTGGTTAAAATCCTTTACCAAGTGCAGTTTCCTTTTACCAAAATATTTCTATATATCGTTCAACACAGCCAAGGAATTCTGATATAACAGACAAATGGCACCTAAAATCAAATTTTTACAACAGAAATTGACACTGAGATGTGTAGAAACAAGCTTCTCAATTCTATGAGATGGTGTAGCTGCTTTGCACGGAGATTTTTCAGCTAGCCTTAAAAAAAAAAAAATGCAACAAACAGCCACATCATGGCTCTCCTGGACTGCTCATGAATATAACGTTCCACATTCAAGCAACTGAGCATCTGCTGAGCTGTGTGCTGCCACTACTAAGGAGCCCGCTCACACTGTAAGCAATCTGCTACCAAGAGAAGATAAAACTTTAGTCTGTCCTACTTTGAAAAGAAAACAAAAATGGCGAGGACAATTTTTAAAAATATTTATCCCATGTCTAATACAGGACCATTTAATACACATACAATAACTTCAGGAGAGTTGTTTTACATTTTTCTTATTTTATAAAAATAACAGTTAAAAAAAAAAAACCTCAACAAAAACCACACATTCACAGTACAGACTTCAGTTACTGGGTTCTGTTAGGCTTAAACACCTGCTCCTCATGCCAGTCTCTGCATGCAGAGTAAAGCAGCAGCAACCAAACCTACAAACTTCCAAAGCAGCTGCACACCCATGCCTTAACTGTACAGTTAAAAATTAGACAAAGGTCAACTAAGTCTCAATATTACAGCCTAATTTTAATCTTGGAAGACAGTTTAATCTAATGTTCATAAAAATACTACCAAAACCAATTTATTAAATCAAAGTACATATTAAATTCTATTTTTATACTTCATAGTTTGAAGATTCAAAGCATATTACTTAAAAGTAAAAAAGTTGGCTAGGAAAAACATAAAATATTCTTTCTAACCAGTTAGTGGTGGCTCATGTCTTTAGTCCCAGCACTCAGAAAGGAGAGATAGGAAACTAGCCTGGTCTACAAAGTGAGTTCCAGGACAGCTAGACCTGTTACATAGAGAAACCTTGTCTAGGGAAAAAACAAACAACAACAACAAAAAATAAAAAAAATAAAAATAATAAGAATTCTTTCCTTGGCTGGAAAGATGGTTCAATGGTTAAGAGTGTACATGAAATGAGAGTTTTATTTTCTCTTGCTCAATGAAATAATCTTTTTGTTGTTTTTTTCTGAGACAGAATCTCACTGGGTAGCTTAGGCTGTCCTGGAATCCTATGTTACACTCATGTCAGGGAGCTCACAACCATCTGTAACTCAAGCTCCAAGAAATCCAATGCTTCCGAAGGTCTCCACAGGCATGTACACTTTGCAGGCCTGGTTGTGCATGGCTTTAATCCCAGCACTCGGGAGGTAGAGGCAGGTGGGTCTCTGAGTTTGAGGCCAGCCTGGTCTACAGAGCAAGTTCTAGGACAGCCAGGATTACAAAGAGAAACTCTGAGAGAGAGAGAAAGAGAAAGAGAGAGGGAGGGAGGGAGGGAGGAGCGTGTTCTTTCCTTATTCTATTTAAACAGAATTAAAGTTAGGGTATGGTGGTACTCCCAGTACCTGGAAGGCAGATCTCTGTGAGTTCAAGGCCATTCTGGTCTACATAGTTCCAGGACACCCAGGGATAGTGCAATCCTGTTTCAAATAAACAAGTAAATAAACAAATAAGGAAGTATGGGGTTGGAAAGAATGGTTTAAAGTAGTCATTGCAGGCTGGAGAGATGGCTCAGTAGTTAGGAGCACTGGTTGCTTTTCCAAAGGACCTGGGTTCAATTCCCAGCAACCACATGGAAGCTCACAACTGTCTGTAACTCCAGTTCTAGGGGATCTGACACCTTCACACCAATTTACATGAAGTTAAATAAATCACTTTTAAATTGTTTTTTAAAGTGGCCATTGCTCTTACAGAAGATCAGTTCCTAACTTTCAAGGGGATAGAGCTCGCACTCTCCTATAATTGCAACAAAAGTGGCTCCAGTACCCTCCTACAGCCTCCAAAGACATCGGCGTGCACATGTATATTCACATGTCCACACACGCAACCAATAAAAGGTAATCCTAAAAATGAATGAATTAAAGTAAAAAAGGAACTAAAGGGGCATCGTGATATAAGCCTGTGATCCCAGCATTTGAGGGGCTGATCTGGGAGAAACCCAAATCAAGGCTAACCTTGAATACACAGTGAATTCCAGGACAGCCTAAGCTACCCAGTGAGATTCTGTCTCAGAAAAAAAAACAACAAAAAGATTATTTCATTGAGCAAGAGAAAATAAAACTCACATTTCATGTTATACTTTTTGCCTAATCAGATACTAAGAAATGTCTTCTATCTAGGTATTTCACTATAAATTTTCTTAATTAATTTAAACAAATTTAATGGATTTAAGGTACAGATATGATATAAGATAAATATGGAATAATATCTGGGTATTCTAATGCTGTACTATAAACTGTGAGCAGTCACTAAAGGTATGCTAAATAAAAATACCTAAGACTATTTTTGTTTTGTTTTTTGTAAAATGTTTAGCCCAGGCTGGCCTTGAACTTGTGATCTTCCTGCCTCCTCCAGCAAATCCTACAGACGTAAGCCACCACAACCAGCTTGTTTTTGTTTTTTTTGAGACAGGGTTTCTCTGTGTAGCCCTGGCTGTCCTGGAATTCACTCTGTAGACCAGGCTGGCCTCAAACTCACAGAGATCCACTATGCCTCCTGAGTGCTGGGATTAAA